TTGGACCTTCTTGGTTGACCCCAAGGGGAAGCAGGCCTATCTCTAGCGAGGACGACCTGATGGGGAAATCCATCGTCATAGGAGTGCCAAGACGCGATTTCAATGATTATGAGTTATATGTTCCAAAGCATGAGCAGAGTGAAGATTTTGATGGTATAGTTGATCACCCAGAAGAATATGAATATGTAGAGTACAAAGACCCTTATAGCAAAACAGCGGATGTTCAAAGCCCAGCGCTTGATGTAACATCCCAGCATTTCTTAAAAATTGCTGGAGACAAGAATACCAGAACTTTTTTCATCTCAGTGGAAGAGGAAGAATGGGATTATGCTGGTTACGGCCAGAGGTACTGTTGGCATCATGTATTTCAAATGATCCACATTTTGCATTTCTAGAAACAAAAAGCATGAATATATGAATCTAAAAGAGTATAACCCATTTGCGAAATCACTTTTATGTTTGCAAAGGAGGCTTGATAAATCATCTCAAAACGAGAGGCCCACATCTTTCAAAAAAGCGGTGTTCAGAAAGTACCTGGACAGCACCTTTAGTATCCGAGACATCCGAGGGGAAATGGATGAACACCTGGGAATTCTGGGTCCGGTCATTAAAGCTGAAGTTGATCAGACTGTTATGGTAGACCACTGAATATGTGAACATACTTGTGTACAAATGAAAATTAGAAGCAAATCATATGACAAAAACATAAACAATTACATTCCTGTTTTTCGTGCTAGGTATTTTTCAGGAACCTTGCCAGCCGTCCGTACTCTTTGCATGCAAATGGAGTAAAGTATTTAAAACAAATGGAAGGCCTGAGTTACGATGATCAGTCGCCGTACTGGTACAAACAGGACGATGCCGTACAACCCAACAGCACCTTTATCTACATGTGGACTATAAATTCCAAATCTGGACCTCAAAATAATGAATTTGACTGTCGAACGTGGACTTACTACTCTGCAGTGAATCCGGTAAGCATGAATGCTTCTTAATTTTCCACTTAACTAAAGATTGCTCCATGAGGGCTGTCCATAACTCAATTTGAATACAAACAGGTGCCAAATAACTATTATTAATTTTGACTTACAATTAAATTATTTTCTTGCATAGGAGAGAGATATAAACTCTGGGCTGATTGGACCGCTTCTGGTGTGCAGGAAGGGTACACTGGATAAAAAGCCTCTGGACAGAAGAGAGTTTGTCCTGCTCTTTATGACATTTGATGAGAATAAGAGCTGGTACTACGAGGAGAATCGGGAGAGGATTGAAAGGAAAAACAAAAGAGCAGTCATGGATCCAAATTTTAAAAATAATTTAAAGTTTGACGGTAAGAAAACTGTTTCTCCTCAGCTTTTTTAGCGCCATTATTTTAATTATAATGGAGTATTTATACTACAGTCATTATCATTGGATTAAAACTAAATAAATTGGAGCAAGTATTGAGACCATTAAAAATATTGCTTTACATAAACTTACTTGACAAATTTATATCTGTTATGTCTGTTTTTTTGTCAGCTATCAATGGTATTATCTACAGTCTCAAAGGACTGCGAATGTACACAAATCAGCTGGCGAAGTGGCATCTGATCAACATGGGCTCTCCCAAAGACCTCCACAGTGTCCATTTCCATGGTCAAACGTTCATAAATAAGGAATTAAAGGACCACCGTCAGGGAGTTTACCCACTTTTACCAGGTGTGTAGTGGTGTTAGAAGATACTTACTTACCTAGATGATCTAGAAAGGCCATTCACACTCAGATCCCATCATTTAGGTGGATTTGCCACACTGGAAATGTTGCCTTCAAAGCCTGGTCTCTGGCAGCTGGAGTCTGAAGTTGGACTCTCACAGCAGAGGGGAATGCAGACGTTATTCCTTGTGTTAGACAACGGTATCATATACAGTAATTTATCATGCTGATCTTATTACAAGAAAACAATTGATTCTGTCAGGTCTTAAAATCTTACCTGGTCTGTTTTGCAGTCTGTGATCATCCTCTTGGTCTCATCTCTGGAACTGTGAAAGATGAACACATATCAGCATCTGACTCTAGAGGTAGGATTTGAAAGTAGCCTATAGCTTTTTATGTAGCATAGTCAGGGTCACATTATTAACACATTTAAAACTGTTTTTAAGGACAATGGTATCCTCATTTGGCCAGACTACATAATACAGGGAAATACAATGCATGGAGTACAACAAAGACAGGACAGCACATTCAGGTAACCACTCATAATGGTGTGCAGACAATTAGCCCATAAATAAAGAAATGCTAATGACTAGTTACTTGAAGAGGCTGTATCCTGTATTCCAGGTGGACTTCCAGAGGCCGGTAGTGATTAGTAAAGTTGCCACACAGGGAGCCAAGCAATTGTTAAAACATAATTTTGTGCTGAACTACACCATTTCCTACAGCACTGATAAAAAGAAGTGGACTTTCTACAAGGGAGACAGCGATACCGTCAGAAAGGCAAGTGACTATTTCTGTGTGGTTATAAAGTGAATGCACATTTCAGCATAAGGATCTGTTCACAATGTTCCACTGCACAGCATTTTAGTTGTTTTTCTATGTAAACATGCAGAGACCAATGGTTCTCAAACAGGGGGCCTCAGCAAACTTGCCTTAAGACAACTTCAAATTATTTAAAATGAGAAAACACAAGCTAAAACAACTAAAAACCAAGATATTTATCATTTTAATTAACCTTCTCAACAACAGTTTGCTTCCTTTGACGAACCAGGGTTCCCACAGTCTTGGAAAACCCAGACTGCCTATTTAATGTAGTGTTATTTCTAGACCTGGTACAAAGTAATGTAAACTCATGAAATCTAACACCATGGGCATTTGTATGATGAATATACATTACATTTACTAGTTATGTCAAGCTCTAAAAAAATTGGGGGAACAGATTGCAAGTAAAAAATATTCTTAATCCTTATTCAGTAAATCACAAACAACCTTAAGAGTCAAGAAAAACATGCATCTACTAAAACATACAATATCCTGAAATTGCATCATTTTAATTTAAATTTTAATATTTTTAGTTTAATTTACAGAATCGAGAAGTGCCCATTGATTAAAATAGGTTTTGAATCCAAAACTAGGGCCAGGGGGGCATTTGAACATTGGTTGAGAAGCACTGCACTACTAGACTGACGTCTTTATGTACCTGAAGACACTGCATCAAATTAATTGTTTAAACGTGCCTAGGGATTTTTTAATTCATTTTTCATTCTTTTTAAACCAAATCAAAACATTCTGTGTGAACAGCCCATAAGATCTGCACTGTGTTTTCCAATGCCCAACAGACTTTTGAAGGAAACAGCGAAGCTTATGACATGAAGGAGAATATATTTTTCCCACCTCTGATTGGTCGATATGTGAGGCTGTATCCTTTACATTCTTACAGCTACCCAACTGTCCGTTTGGAGTACTATGGTTGTGAGCTTGATGGTATGGACAAAAATTGTACAGATTTTGTTTTCTCATACTGCCTTATAAGACAAAATAAAGTTCAGCTCCATTGTACTAATCCGCCACATTGTGCTGGCAGGTTGCTCTGTGCCACTGGGAATAGAAAGTGGCCTCATTAAAGATGCTCAAATCACTGCCAGTTCTGTGGCCTCCAGTTGGTACTCTGGCCAGTGGCATCCTTGGTATGCACGCTTAAATAAATATGGGACCGCCAATGCATGGCAAGCCAAGGTAACAAAGATATACCTCATAAATGAAACCCTTAAAGGTATTTACTCCACTTCAAACCTCAAGCCTCAATAAACTGTTTGCAATTTACAGAACAATGACATGCAGCCATGGATCCAGGTGGAACTCAAGGATATAAAGAAGATAACTGGAATTATAACACAGGGGGCCAAATCGTTAGGCAATGAGATGTTTGTGACAGCATATTCTCTGGAGTACAGTGAAGACGGCAAGAGATGGACTAAGTACACGGATGATGAGGACTATGAACAAAAGGTAAGTGGTCTCACTTTTTGGGATTAGAATAAGTTTCTGCACAACATCTAACCACAGTGTTTTGTGTCTTAAGATTGAGAAAAAAGTGTTTTCTTTTATTTTCACAGACATTTCAAGGCAACACAGATAACAATGGCCAAGTAAAGAACTACATCTACCCGCCAATATTTTCCAAATTCATCCGGATTATTCCAAAACAATGGCAGAAATCCATTACTATGAGAATTGAGCTGCTTGGTTGTGATTTTGAATAAACACTGTGCTTTCACTGATATGACAATAGTTTTTATTTTATGTGTTGTAATTAAATATATTAAATGCTGAATCTTTTTTTTTGTTTTTTTTTTAAGCGCATCTAAATAACTAAATATTTCCCAAAATTTGAGGTGGATGAATGCAGAAATTTTTTAATGTGTTCCTACAGTTTACAGCACGTATATGCCACCTAGTGTTGAATTAATGTCTGCTTGCTCTGGGTCAGCCCAACACACACACACACACACAGCCTTTATGTTTATATAATACAGGTGCATCTCAATAAATTAGAATGTCGTGGAAAAGTTCATTTATTTAAAATGTGAAACAAGAGACCAAAAAATGCAGATGAGCTGAAGGCCACTGTCAAAGAAACCTGGGCTTCCATACCACCTCAGCAGTGCCACAAACTGATCCCCTCCATGCCACGCCGAATTGAGGCCGTAATTAAAGCAAAAGGAGCCCCTACCATGTATTGAGTACATGTACAGTAAATGAACATACTTTTCAGAAGGCCAACAATTCACTAAAAAATTTTTTTTTATTGGTCTTATGGAGTATTCTAATTTGTTGAGATAGTGAGTTGGTGGGTTTTTGTTAAATGTGAGCCAAAATCATCACAATTAAAAGAACCAAAGACTTAAACTACTTCAGTCTGTGTGCACTGAATTTATTTAATACACGAGTTTCACAATTTGAGTTGAATTACTGAAATAAATGAACTTTTCCACGACATTCTAATTTATTGAGATGCACCTGTATTAGACAGACAGACAGATAGATAGTTTTCGTCTAATTGTTCTGCTGTTGTTTTAACCATAGCTAAATCTCACTGTTAATTTGAATATGTGTAGATATTTTTGGTGGAATACAGACATAAAAAAAACGTACAAAACGATTTTTGCAAATATTATTCCCCATGAGAACATTGCAGAGCAGACTATATGTAGCCGGTGAGAGTGAGACCCTCTGTCTGGACTGTCTGCAGTCGAGATGGAGGGAAGTTTTAAAGAGGAGGATTTCCGACGCCATTGTGACGTCAGCAGCGCCTCTTTATTCACCGCCGACCGCAGCAGCCGCAACAAATGAACATCCCTGGATCATTTAATACTTTGTAACTGCGTTGAAACTTTGAGCATGCGTCTCCGGAAAGCGTTTTTGTTCCGCGAAAGCCTGAGAAAACAAACTCAGCATCTTGCAGGAAGTGAGAAAGTTTTTGGATTAAAGTTAGTCGTCGCAGACTAACAAAGCCAGCCGGAGAAAGTTACTCGTGCTGGACTACAGCGTGATATCGCCTGGCCTGGAAAACTGGTACGTTATCCTTGTATCTATCATTGCATTAGGATCAACTATGCAATTTTGAATCGAAGTGGTCGGAAACACATTTTTGTGCAATGCAAAATATCGCTGTTGTTGGAAAAATAGAGAAAGAGTGCGTGCGCTTCGCACTCTCCGCTAGCTGATCACATTGCTGTGGTTGTTCATTGGACGTGAATCATGGTGAACGATTTATTGAAGAGGCATGACAGACGATCCACATCCAGTGGCCCCAAACGCATTTGGATGATTGAGCTGCACATAAACTATATGAAATTCATTGCATTAGATTTGAACTTAAATGCATCTACAGTAAGTTTTTCCTTGTGTGATATATTTGCCTGAAGAGTGCTATTTTGAGTATTATGTTATAATAATGCTAAGAGTATTATTTTTTCTTATGTATTTGTTATCTAATGCAGTGATATACACTCACTGGCCACTTTATTAGGTACAGCTTGCTAGTACCGGGTTGGACCCCCTTTTGCCTTCAGAACTGCCTTAATTCTTCGTGGCATAGATTCAACAAGGTGTTGGAAACATTCCTCAGAGATTTTGGTCCATATTGACATGATAGCATCACGCAGTTGCTGCAGATTTGTCGGCTGCACATCCATGATGCGAATCTCCCGTTCCACCACATCCCAAAGGTGCTCTATTGGACTGAGATCTGGTGACTGTGGAGGCCATCTGAGTAAAGTGAACTCATTGTCATGTTCAAGAAACCAGTCTGAGATGATTTGAGCTTTGTGACATGGTGCATTATCCTGCTGGAAGTAGCCATCAGAAGATGGGTACACGGTCGTCATAAAGGGATGGACACGGTCAGCAACAATACTCAGGTAGGCTGTGGCGTTTAAATGATGCTCAATTGGTACTAAGGGGCCCAAAGTGTGCCAAGAAAATATCCCCCACACCATTACACCACCACCACCACCACCAGCCTGAACCATTGAGACAAGGCAGGATGGATCCATGCTTTCATGTTCTTTACGCCAAATTCTGACCCTACCATCTGAATGTCGCAGCAGAAATCGAGACTCATCAGACCAGGCAACGTTTTTCCAATCTTCTATTGTCCAATTTTGGTGAGCCTGTGCGAATTGTAGCCTCCGTTTCAGCACCCGGTGTGGTCTTCTGCTGCTGTAGCCCATCTGCTTCAGGGTTCGACGTGTTGTGCGTTCAGAGATGGTATTCTGCATACCTTGGTTGTAACGAGTGGTTATTTGAGTTACTGTTGCCTTTCTATCATCTCTAACCAGTCTGCCCATTCTCCTCTGACCTCTGACATCAACAAGGCATTTTCGTCCACACAACTGCCGCTCACTGGATATTTTCTCTTTTTCGTACCATTCTCTGTAAACCCTAGAGATGGTTGTGCGTGAAAATCCCAGTAGATCAGCAGTTTTTGAAATACTCAGACCAGCCCGTCTGGCACCAACAACCATTCCACGTTCAAAGTCACTTAAATCCCCTTTCTTCCCCATTCTGATGCTCGGTTTGCACTTCAGCAAGTCGTCTTCACCACATCTAGATGCCTAAATGCTTTGAGTTGCTGCCATGTGATTGGCTGATTAGCAATTTGTGTTACCAAGCAATTGAACAGGTGTACCTAATAAAGTGGCCGGTGAGTGTATATTAAGTGTGGCTTAAGTGTCTTAACATTTGTTCTGATTTGTATTGTTTTTTATTATTGTCATTGCTTTTATATTTTATATAATGATTTATGATTATTTTATTATTGTAAACGTAATGTTGTCTACAGTAAAGCTTGCATATTTTGTGTGCATATAGTTGTGAAACGTTTCATTTTAAATCCTGTGATTCTAAATTGGTAGAAGTCTTACTTAAAATCTGAGCACAGTCTCTTCAGACTAGAGTTTTTCACAGCACAGCCCAGTTCTTAACAAACAGTGTATTATAAGAATGTGTAATCCACATTTGTACAATGTATTGTACAAACAAAATCAGCTTTACAGCTTTGTAGTGCTTTACAGGACACCCTTGAATGAACCCACCACACCAGATCATTTCTTCATCTTGTAGCATTCAGATGTTCCAGACAGCTTTTATCAGACTGCATTTCCTCTCATATCTTGTAGTTTGTCAACATGTCTGTCCAGTCCTGGGTACCCAGCAGCCTCCCATAATGAACAGCTCTAAGAATGGGACAGCGGTGGCCAACTCCACTAACGGCCTGGATGACGATGGGCTCATGGTCCTGGAGTCTGTCTCTATCATCATCATAGCAATACTGGCATGTCTGGGGAATCTGGTCATTGTGGTGACCCTATATAAGAAGCCCTACTTACTGACACCCAGTAACAAGTTTGTCTTCAGCCTGACTTTGTCCAATTTGCTGCTGTCTGTCCTAACGCTGCCCTTCGTTGCGGCCAGCTCGGTGCGTCGGGATTGGATGTTTGGAGTGGTTTGGTGTAACTTCACAGCACTGCTCCATCTACTCGTCAGCTCATCCAGCATGCTTACACTAGGAGCCATTGCCATTGACAGGTCAGTCGTTATGTTAGCATATCCTATAGTTTGAGAAATCCTTGTAAATAATTAATAGGACTGTTTATGATAAAGAAAAGGAACAGACGTCTAGTGTCAAAGTTTAAATTTAATGACTCTAAAAAGTGATAACATATTTTCCTTACAACTTATACATGCAAGTGTACAGATCGTAATATTGTTTTTTACATTTTAAAAATATATATATATATTTTTTTACAAATATGAATAATTTATTCATAATATAAGTAATAAATATAATTTATGAAAGTCACACCACATGACATTTTACAACCTTGCTGTGTCCAAAAATTTTTACAATTATTAGCTAGATATTTTAAAAGAGTAATTGACCTTGACAAGGTCATAAAGGTTTGCATTGGTCCTCTCTGTCATATAATTTTTCCTGTTTTAAATTTTTCTGCATTTCGTTTGGACTGTTTGAGTCTGAGTTGGTGGGCAAACTTTACATTAAATATTAATAGAAAATTCAATACAGAAATTAAAAACATTGTATCTATGAATTGCATTTTTTTTATGTGTTTTTAAATAAATTCATAAACAGACAGATACAAAAAGTTAGTGTCATGTGATTGACCCATAAGCAAATATACTTGCTGTTCAGTCAATTGTTGTATTATTACGAAATCTCAAATTCAAGTTAATTCAAGAACAATTCTTGGCAAAACTATTTTTGACTGATGTAATCAATGGCCATACTGTATTTTTTTTAAAGCCTGTAGTTCACCATGACATTTAACTTAAGTCCAGTTTTGCTTGAACAGATCCACTGTTTTTATTAACAAGATGCACACTGAAAAATACCAGACCTATTTAGCTTTATCAATACACAAACCTAGAAGCCACACTCTACTTTATTTCTGGGGCAGCTTGAGAGTCTTAGAGAAAGACCCCCTTGTCTTTCCATTGGCTAGTCATGTGTCTCTCACGAGGGAATTATTGAACTGTATCTGTTTTATATCAATGTCCGTCTCATTCTAGGTACTACGCCGTTTTATATCCCATGATCTACCCCATGAAAATCACGGGAAACCGAGCTGTGGTCGTCATCGTTTATGTGTGGCTCCACTCCCTGGTCGGATGCCTGCCGCCACTTTTCGGTTGGTCCGCCTTTGAGTTTGACCGCTTCAAGTGGACCTGTACAGTGGCTTGGCACGAGGAGATCAGCTATACTGCCTTCTGGGTTACGTGGTGCTGCCTTCTGCCACTGGCGGCCATGCTGATCTGCTATGGCGTCATCTTCCGCGTGGCCCGCATCAAAGCTCGCAAGGTTTACTGCGGAAGTGTGGTGGTGCCTCAAGAGGAGTCCAGTTCTCAGAAGAATGGTCGCAAGAACTCCAATACTTCCACATCTTCTAGTGGAAGCCGCAAGAGCCTGGTCTACTCTGGGAGCCAATGCAAGGCCTTCGTCACCATTCTGGTGGTTCTGGGGACATTTCTGACCACTTGGGGTCCATATGTGGTAGTTATCAGCACTGAAGCACTGTGGGGTAAAGACAGTGTTTCTTCACAGATGGAGACACTGGTCTCCTGGCTGTCCTTCACCAGTGCCGTGTGTCATCCACTTATTTATGGGCTGTGGAATAAGACCGTACGTAAGGAGCTGTTGGGCATGTGCTTTGGCGACCGCTACTACAGAGAGTCTTTTGTTATACGGCACCGGACCTCTCGTCTTTTTAGCATCTCTAACCGGATAACGGGTGAGCCTGCTGCTGCTGTTATTTGTATCCTGGTATTCTTCATAATCTAATGTTTGGATGAGATGTCTGAGGATCTTTGTTGTTTGACAGATTTGGGAATGTCTCCTCACCTGACAGCCATGTTAGTGGGCGGTGGACCGCTCCTGGGCCGTGGAAGCAGCACGGGAGACACTGGCTTCAGCTACACCCAGGACTCAGGTAGACCTTCTGCTGTTTATAACACATGTCAGTTTAAAACAATTTGAGGGAATCATTTATCCAACAATGAATGCTGTCATCATTTACGTACCATCACATTGTCCCAAACCTAATGACTTCCTAGTTTCTTCTGTGGAACAAAAAAAGGAGGTATTTTAGCATAATGTCTTTCAGGGACAATTCCTGTCAGTTTTAAAAAAGCACTATGTAAGTACCACAAAAATAGTCCATGCCACTTGTGGGCTGTATTTCAAGTCTTCTGAAGCCATACTAGATCAATTTTGTATGAGGAACAGGCTGGCCAAAATTCATGTCGCTGTTCACTGAAAATCTTCTCTTTCGTTGTAGTTCTTGAATCTCATTCTCACTTCTGCATAAACTGACATGTTGCGTTCAGCAGTAAGTCATACAACAAATACGGTTTGACATTATTGACCGTGCATCAGTTTGAATATTTGAAAACTGAATCAGATTTGAGATTTATAACAAACTGGAAGGCCTTCAGTCAATAACAACCTAAATAACTTAAAGTCTGTTCCTCACACAAAATCAAATGGCTTTAGAAGACTCATATAATGAATGAACGGTAAAAACATACTTTTGATCTCAATATCATCCATTGCCTCCAAGTTTTGTTTTATGGAAGAGAACTGCACAAACTTTTTATCTAAATAAAAATCTCCTTTTGCCTTTTTCTTGAAAAATATTCAAATGTATTTAGGTGAGGCTGAGTAAATGGAGGCAATTTTTCATTTTTGAGTGAACTTTTAAAAAGCCTTTAAAAGAATTATTAAATACCCTTTTGGTTTTGTAATGACTTTATTGTGCATTCCTGCAAAAAATACTAGTACCATCCTGGATGATATTGGTGATATATTTATCATTATCAGCTGTTATTGTGCATTTTACATTTGAATTTACCATCATCTAATGCTTACTTAAAGTTGCTTTCTAAAAACACTAATAATTTAGTAACAGTTAAATGTAATTGTTAGCAAACCTCAATATATACTATACATTGTAATGTTGTGATGACTAAATTCACTTGTGTTTGACTGATTTTAGTCATTTACATTGAAAAAACTAAACAGAATTTTAATATCATTGTTTATCAGTATAGGCCATGGTTTTAATACTGCTGCATCCTTACCTCTTTGAATACAAGGAAATCAAACAGAATCAACCCCCACAGCTCTTAGCAGTCAGCAGAGGTGGTTTATTGGCTTGCAGGCTGTTGTTATCAGGGTGTGCCATTTGAGGAAACACAGAGCCCATGAGTATCGCATAACAGACAGACGGCACTGCTCTGCGGCTCTCCCACAGTGTCCAGACTGGTGTGGGTGGGTGCTGTTGAGCAGTGTTAAAACTGATATTTGATTGAAAGATGCCTGCTGTGATTTACCCTCTAGCTACAGACGTCATGCTGTTGGACGGCTACACCTCAGAGCCCTCCCACTCAGCCCACTGTGCTGCCAATAAGAGGAGAAGTTCTGTCACATTCGAGGACCAAGTGGATCAGATGCCTAAAGGTATCTAACATGTTCTTATTTGACATCAAATGCAAAAATGTCTTTGTTAGTTGCAGTACAAAACCAAGCAAATAGAAAGTGGCTCTACAAAATGTTATTTGGCACCAGTTCTATTAGGTTTAATATAATAAGTGCACTACTAATCAAATGTTAGGTGTCGGTAAGAAAGTGTTTTTATTTATTTTTATTGTTATTTTTTCTATGCTCAAGAAGCCTGAATTTATTTGATCAAAAATACAGTAAAAACAGTAAAATTTGTATTATTATTACAATTTAAAATAACTGTTTTAAGATATGTTAAAATATAATTCAACCCTGTGATGGCAAAGCTGAATTTTCAGCAGCCATTACTCATGTGACATTATTCAGTGTCACATGATCCTTCAGAAATCATTCTAATATGCTGATTTGGTGCTCAAGAAACATTTCTACTTATTATAATTGTTGAAAATGGCTGTTCTGCTTAATAATTAAAAAAAATGAAAAACAGATAAATTTTTTAGGGATCTTTGATAAAAAGAAAGTTTAAAAAGAACAAAAATGTTACAAAAAGTATTCTATTTCAAATCAATGTAAAAGTCATTAGTCACTTTTGATCAATTTACTGCATCCTTGTGGAATAGAAGTATTTATTTCTTTAATGAAAAGAAATCTTACATAAACAATACTATTCAAAAGTAAAAAAAAAAAAGGTTATAGTCAAAAGTTAAAGTCTATCCCCCAGTTTCACAGACAAGGTTTAAGACTAATCCCTGACTAAAATGTAAACCTGAGCTGTTTCAACTGAAAGAAACTTGCACTGACTGATCTAAAAATATGTAAGTGCCTTTGTTTTGTCTCAAGATGCACACCAGTAATGTTTTTTTCTAAGGCACGTTTATAAAAACTACTTAAATGTCCTAATTGACCTATTGCCTAATCCTGGCTTAACCTAAGCCCTCTCTATGAAACCAGGCCTATGAGTGTTAACTTTAGATGAATGTGATAGAGCACTTACTTAGTCTGTCATGGCCATGTTAAGCCATTAAAATGGGTCATTTTTACATGATACATTTAAGGAAATGTAGACTTACAAAATAACATTTGTTCATACTAGTTTATGTCTAGAACAGTAGTCCCACCTTAAAGTTTTGTACAGAAGAAACTTTATAATTCTGCTTTTCCATCTTGCCTCACAAACCTTCTTTGTAAAGACACTTATAAATGGCAGTTTTGCAAAAGGAGTAATTTTTTGTGTTAATCATCAGCATGTTATAGAGCTTTGACAGAAGCATCTTAAAATTAATTTTTCTCAAGGTGACCCCTTGGTAGTCCAAGTGACGGCAGACATCCATAAGTCTTTGGACAGCTTTGCGTCTTCTCTGGCTAAGGCTATAGAGAACGATGCCAAGCTTCAACTCTTTGGGGAATGGACTCAAATTCCAACAAGTCTGTTCACAGTACGAAACACACAGAGAACTCCCCGTTACCTGGATGGACAGAGACTCAGGATGGAAAGCATCGATGAAGGAATAGTTAAAGATGATGATGATGATGAAGAGCAAGAGGAAAAAGTAGGTGACACTTCCATGTAGTTCTTTGACTCGGTAAATGGACCAGATTGTGTAATCTGTAGCTTTTAAAGGTACAAGGAACGCTTAAGATAAATGTTTACAGATATACAGTGATTTATGTGTAGTTTACATACTAGATCTGTCACTCACCAGAATAAGTTATGTTTTTGTAACATAAAAGTTATTGTAAAATCACGTCCAGCCCTCATATATTGCCTCATATATTTTGCCTGTGTTGGGTACTGTGTATTATGTTTACTCTTTTCTTATAAGGAAACTGTAAGCACTCATGCCCTGACTGTTTGTAAGAATGATTATCCTACAGCTCACTGTTTTAAGTTCAGGTCTATTAATATATTCTATTATTATAAGTGCCACCAGGTTTATAGAAAATATACCAAATGTCTTTGGGGTTATATTGATGTGGCCAAAAAAATACCCTTACGCCTTACAAAATATTTTTTTCAGCCATTTAATTAACATGTAAATGAGAGAGAGAAACTGGGCATGATAAAAGGTAGAATACCTCTTAAAATGCTGTTTTATCCATAGTTTTTGGTGGAAAATCTGATTAAAATGTTTTGACAATGTATTGGTGCGAGAAAGCATCTGCAGTGTCATTACTGAAGTCACTGGTACAATTGCACTTGAAGATTTTGTTACGTTTGATCAGAGACTTCTCACATCTGTTTTTGTTCCTACTAGTTTTAGTATACTTTGAAAATTTACTCAGTAAGGATTAATCATTCCTGTGGAATCTTCTTTTTTTTTTTGCATTATGCCAGTCAGTTATATACCAATATTAATAGGCCACTTTGTCATTTGCAGCGCTCCTTCTGGCTGCACTATTTGTTTGCAAACCACAGCACATAATGCTTTTTTTATTTGTACTGTGTTATTAAATTCTTTATGGGTATCCAACAAGCTTTCAGTCATGTTTTGATTGAATCACAAACACATTTAATGTCTCTGGTACATGGATTGAAAAGGAACCGGCACTTAATCTGAAAATCTGTGGAAAAACACTTAAAAAGATGGCTTGCATTCCTTAAAAGTGCTGAATGAGGTTAGCATAGAATGGCACGCTATTAGATGAGGAGATATTTCATCAGTGATAGCTTTTCCCAGCGTTCACTAGTCACTTAGCAGAACGCTCAAGCCAACAGCTGCCACAACAAAGGCCATCTGTGCTGATAGGAGAGAGAAACACGACCTGCCAATTAATGCTAGAGCCATTTGGCTAGACAGCAGTGGGTTTTATGTATAGACGGAGTCAAAAACGGTTCTCATTTTAATAAACTTTTACAAACATTCTGCAGTGTAACAATGTATAATGGCTGGTTTGGATAATGAAATATTGCAAGTAGTACCTGTAACTGGGGTTAGGCAGAAGATCCCTGTGCAATGCAAAAGATTTAGTAATGACAAAAAAAGAGCCAACACTGGTAAAGACTAAGAGAACATGTTTTCTGCAAACTCATGTTTGACATGCATAATTCCTGGTATACAAACATCAGAGTTCTTAATTTGAGGCTACAATAAAGTTTCACACTTAACACCGTTCCAAGCTCAACCGTTTAACAAATTAATATTGCACTTAAATACTCTCAAGCGCCAGCCGTTTAGTCACATCTTTCAATTTCTTACGTATCATCTTGTTTGCATGAACTCCCCAGATGCAGTTTACTCTCATATAGAGTAATTAGTACGAAAAGTCTCATTACAAAAATAATGCCAAAAACTGAACTAACAAGGAAATACTCTATTTTGTAACTTGTACAAATCTCAAATGCTCAAGTGCACTGTAGCAAAAAACCATTCATTTGTAGCAGAAGGGCTACTGTTGTTCATCCTCGTTCTCTTGTCCAGAGCCTTCCGAAGGATCACCCTCCACACGGTCTGAGGATAAAAAAAGGGATCATTTAGACACCTGTTCAAGGTAGTAAAACCAAATGCTAGAGTAAGTATCCAGTGACAAATGCTGGTCAGTTAAAAAAAAGAAGTGTAAATATCATTGATAAATATTATTTATCTTAAAATAACTTAAAAGATAATTAGACAAAATTTATTTTCAATTTGGACTCTTTTGGATCTCACTGTATGTATACAGTCAGTGAGTTAAAAAAGGGACATGAGGAAGTTCACCTGTTCTGATGTGATTTAATGATGCCAGCATTCGGAGCATGAAGGAAGCAGGGACGGTGATGGTGTTCCTCGTCTCTTCCAGCATTAACTCATTACGAGCAATCACCTACAGCACACAAACAACTCAATTAAATCCACAAGTTTGCCAACACTTTACTCCTGTCGCAAAGGCATAGATATACCAATACAGCTGCCTCAAAATGCCTCTATTTTATGTATTTTCCTCTATAAAAGCAGACAGTTCCTACAACCACAGTACTTGGAGCTCTAGTGCCATCTAGTGGGGATTTAATTACATCTCAAAACAACGTGTTACTATATGCATTAAAAATACCCATTTTAAAGTCTGAAGAATCAAAACAGGACATTCTTCACAGAATTAAGCAGAAAACATTGTCCATACCTCTTCAGCAAGGACTCTGTTAAATGACGGTGACTGTTCTAAAGGCGACCACAGCTTGATGTCATAGTCAATTCCAGATGAAGCAAGAACTGTTAAAAAAAAGAACACAACGTCAGACCAAATGAAGTGATCCAAATCATCTAAACCAAAATCTTTCATGGGTCTCTATCTATTGTTTTCAGGTATCTTTTTGCTCACTGGGGTCATAAGGGTGAGGCTGTAGGCAGTTGACCACATGGTTGTCGGCCTCCAGCAGCATCAGGTGCTCTCCCGTGTGTCTGTCCCAGATGAAGATATGGCCACAATCCGAGCCGCTCATCACAAAGTTATTCCCCCAGAAACACGACTCTTTAATCTACATGCACAGTCAGGTCATTAAAGTGAAACATCTGGTAATGTTTTATTACATGATTGTTTATATGTTATACTAGAACTAATAAGAAGTGACAGAAAGCTGCTTTTTGTGTACAATATGCATACAGTACAATAGACATAGCGTACCATGGTCCTGGAGTTGCGGTGCCCCTTGTACATCATCTTGACAGAGGGTCTCCTGATATTCTGAGTCTCACTCTCTTCCATCTCTCTCCGCTCTTTTCTCCTGCGGAACAGCTCCTGGATCCGAGCCGCGGCGGAGCGTCTGTGAAAAACAGAGCATGCAGAGCAATGCTCATGAAAAATCATTTATGCACTTACAACTTTAAAACACATTACAGCTCAACATAATATTAGTCGAGGATGGTCAAATTTTCACAAGCTTAAATAGTTTTACAAAGTCTTACAGCATTGTGCGAGATAATATTTGATCTGAATATATTTTTTTGCAGACAATGTAGATGGGGCTTCACCTATCATGACATAACAGTAACAACATTAACTTTTATGTGCATGTTAAATTCATACAATGATGTGTTTTTGATATTTCATTTAATAGCTGATAATTCATGGAATTACATTGTGACTTATAGCGTATTTGGTAACAGTCTCTTTAAGAGAACAAATTTTTTATTGAGTGAATCTGATGAAACACTGATGTCTGTAGAGAGCCGTGGAAGTTCAGTTTTTTTGACATTTTCTTGAAAATTTTTTTTTAAAGAAATTAATACTTCTTGTTCAGTAAGGATGCATTAAATTGATCAAAACAGACATTAAAGACATTTATAATGTTATAAAAGATTTTTATTTCAAATAAATGCTGTTATTTTAAACTCTCTATTCAAAGAATACTGAAAAAATGCATCATGGGTTCCACAAAAATACCAAGCAGCACAACTATTTTCAACTTTTTTTTTTGTGTGTGAAAATCTGAATACATTTTTGAACTCCAAACAATTATACCTAAGGTAACTTGTAAATTCATGCATGAAATTAGTTTACTTGGTTAGTAACTAACCAAATGGTCATTATGCAAACATTTTGCACACTCTCAGGCAGAAATAAAGTTAACATGAACTACTAAATCACACAAAATATATAATTGATAGCATATTTTACACAGCCACACAAAATGAATACCAGGTTAATGAAAAGTTAATCAAATCTGCACCCCTTGCAATTAGATTATATAAGTGGCTACCTCAGAAACATTACAGTACCTTATCATCCTATCACCTACAGCTGATCCTCTGTAATTAAATCTAATGAGAAGAGTAGCATTTTATTTATGACTGTCCAAAAGATAAACACTGTTTAGCATAAACTCATGTTGTCATGTTTTATGGGACTTCCCGCCTGTCATTTCATTTGCCCACACATTGTGACGATTTGCATCATTAAACATCTTGACATAACGAGAGTCCATACCTCTGTCCCTGCCCTCCTCTGTACCTGGCTGAAGGGATAAGGATGGGGTCGTCGTCACTGTCATCTGAGTCCTGATTGCGGGATGGTTGAGTCGAACCCTGGCCGCCCGTTCCAGCGGTCTCGCTCCTCCTGCACTGCTCGCTCAGCTCCGCCGAACCAGCAGCCTGGAGCTCCTCTGATGGAGCGCTGGGACGAGCCGTGTCTTCGGTTGGCAGCCCCTCTGGTGGTGCCGCCGGTGGCGTGCTGTTTTGAGAGCTGATGGAGGCCTTTTCCGTGCCACCGTCTGCAATTTTGCCCCCAATGGGTGTGGGTTGACTCTCTGAGGATGAGCTCGAACCTGTTTATGAGAGAAAAGTTCAGATAACCTCCAAAAATAAGCTACACAACGCAAATTTTGTAGCAATGGGCATGTGGTTGTCGACTCACTTTGCTCCGAGGTTTGACCTGTGGGCTCCTCCTCTCTGGTCTGGCTCTCACCCACCTCCCCAGGCTTATGTCCTCCACTGCTGCCTTTGGCACTGGACGTTGGACTGCTCCTGTGCATAGTAAAAAAAAAAAGGGTTAGTGATTTGTTCTAACAAAAAAATGCATTCTTAAAAATAATATACTCACAATTAAATAAAGAAGGATGCCAAAGAGAATTTCAGATAATCGTTTGCAATTCACAGACGTCTGACATGTCCAAGTATTATTTATATACTATTATAGTATTTATTAATATTTTTAATTATAATATTATAATTATAATGATGTTATTACTATATTATAATAATATAATATATTATAATGTTTATATTTTCAGTTTTAGTTATTTTGTAATGTGCTTTTGTAATTTTTAGTCATTTATGTTTTGATATTTCTTTTTAGCTTTCTTTTTACTTTAATTCTGGTAATTTTAGTATTAGTTGCAAAGGCAATATATATTATTTTCATTTATTTTTTTATTTTTTCATCTAGTATTTATTTTTATTTTGTTTCAGCTTTATTTAAATAAATGCAAATTAATTTAGCTTTTTTTCCTTTTAGTTAACATTAACAATATTTCCATTTACCGTTTATTTTTCAGTTTAAAAAATTTAAATACTTCAACTTCATCTTATTTTATTTAATTGCCAAGACAACATTCCAAATTAAAAAGAAAATTCTTAAGCAAATAAAAAAATGTATTTAAAATTTATTTCAACTAATATTTGTTTTATTTCAGCTTTCTTTCAATTAATGAAAATGGCTTTTAATTATAGTTTTTTTGTCAACAACAACACTGTTTATTTCTTAGAGAAAACATGAAAAATGTATACTTCAAATGCAGAAACTTACGTACACAAAACTTCATTTTGGGTTAAACACAACTAAAAATTATTTCATTTTAGTTTTTATTAATGGATTCAAAATAATATACTGTGAATTTGTGAGCCTTTATGAGTGATTCATTAAAAGAACCAGTTCTTTAGAGTCATTTGCTTGTGAATCGGATCACACTAGTTGTAGTGCCTACTGCTCAGGCCCTCCAGGAATTGAGTTTGAGACCAACGCTTTAGAGGCTTGTGGGAGTGATTTGTGTGCTGAGGTCAAGGCTGATTCTCTGGTCACTCACCACTCATCTGTGAAGTCCAGTTTGATGGTGCTAGTGGTGGTGCCTTCAGTGCTGTAGTGCAGACTAAGGATGGGTTCTGCTGTGCCAGTCCGCCCAGGTCCTGGAGGATTGCTGCTGCTCCCGCGGCTGTTGCTGGGGCTGGTGCCAAGTGAAGGCGCTGATGTGGATGGCACAGTTTCTGTAGTGTCTGGGGAAGCTTCACTGACTCCTGTACTCTGATCACTGATTACATGTCCTGCTGCTTCTGCACCTCCTGGAAGGAAGGGATGTAAAACTGAGCTTTTAGTAAGTGTGTTTTCCTTAGGAACATTATATTTGTCACAACTGCAGTTAATCATAGAAGGAGCTTTTCTGAAATATTAGAATGTAATTATCATGCACCAGTATTGCAGTATTGGTAGTACTGAGAAATACTTTGTTTCAGAATGGCACAGGTGGCAGCTTCAGATGCTCAGATTTCACTGAGAAATATATATATATATATTTATATATATATATATATATTTAATGT